GGCAGCGCCAACTCACACACCGCGGCGAAGGATTTCTGTTTCTTTATTCCAGTTGCCAGAGCAGGGAGGTGGGTGGTTCCCACAAGAGGCCGGCTCCCCGCTCATCCAAGCCTTACGGCATTGAAACATTTTAACAAACGAAGGCATCAACATTCTCTGGTTCCTGATTACGTAACTTTTTTATTAATGAGCACTCGGGCCCCTATTTGCTGGGTGTATCTCTCCTAAATAGTCCACAGGTGCGTTGGAGTTGGGGTCCGTTTTGAGTAGGTGGTCAGTGGTACTGCTCAGTACTGCTGGCTTCCCTCCTGGTGGCTCTGAGCCTCTTGGGACTGTATTCCTTTTTCCTTAAACAAAAGATTAGCCAAGCATACAATGCTTGGACTGCTCATGTCAGTACAAAGCTCCATCTCTGTCTCAGGTAGTGTCTCATCTCGGAGGTATGGCCTGCTAGAACAAATTTGTTCAATAGTTACCAAACTGTCAGGATACAGTTCTCCTGTTCCAGAGACTGGGAGCAAAGTGGCTGGGTTAAGACTCATGATGCCACTGTTCCAGTTCCTTTGCCAGGATAATCCTTGTGGGAGAACGGTCCAAGAGAGCTGCATCTTCCATCCAGTTGGATTTTCCCATTCAATGGCAAAGAAAACTTGATTCTGATTGGCCACAAGTAAACAAAAGAAGATGTCTTCTACATCTAACACACTGTAAAGTACATCTGAATCTCTGGTATTAAGGATTTGGGACTAGCAGATGCCCATCGATCTTACACTACAATGACTTAGGCTTTTTCACTGGAAGGAGAGTTAAATTCTGATTGGCATTCACTTAATAACCAGAACTATGAGAAAGAATCTATTGACAGTTCCGATCCTGACCAGGCACCTGACTTCATAACATACTGTTTTCTCCTTACAAGTCAGACTCCTGATTTCAGTTTGGTCTTTTTGACCCCCAAACAGGGGCCAGACCAGCCTTTTCCAGATTGCCCTTCCCAAGGGGCAGCCCTGCCTGCCGGCTGCGTGCACAGAGAGGTACCCACAGCCTGGCTGCAGCCAGCTGGGCCCCCAGCCCACACCCCCGAGCCCACCTGCCCTCCCCACGGGGCTCCCCAAACCTGCTGCCCCCAGCACCCCCATGCCATACCCTGCCCTGCCTGTGCTGGCCAGGCTGGCAGCTGAGCATGCCCTGCTTTGGTCCCTCCTCTGGTGCAGCCCAACTGCTCCTTGACAGGACTGGTCTGGTGCAGGCTCAGATCTTCCTGCAGTTTCTGTGCAGCTCCTCTCGCCTCCCTGGGCCCACAAGGGCTCTGAAGCCCCTTGGGCTTCTCAGGGCATCTGTAGGGCTGGGCGGGGACGTGGCACAGGCAGAGGGATTGCCCCTGGCATTCAGACCACATTGCCCCCAGGAACTCCCTGCAGTGGCAGGGAAGGCTATTCCCAGGGTCAGGAGCAGCACCCAAGGCTCAGGACACCAGGCACAGCTGGCCTGATGCTGTACTGGTGGTGTGTAACCATTGGCACGCTGGTGCTGGTTTGTGCTTTTGTTTCCCCGTGGGTAACAGCTGTGCCATCATGGAAGTGGGTGAGAGTTCCCGTGTCCTGGGGCTGGGTGTAGAAGCAGGGCTGGGCTGAGGAGATCTCCCCTGCCTCCAGGGCAGCAGCTCAGGCAGAGCCAGGCTGTGCCGGAGGGAAACAAGGAGGCAGAAGGGGGTTTTCTTCTCCATTTTTTTGTCTTCATTATTTTGTTTAATTTATTAATAACTTTTGCATGAAAAGAAGTTAAAGTGTAGAAGTATCTGTGCAGTTCTTCAACATATCTGCCAAACATGAGAATAGAACTGAAAGAAATAAAAAGAAAGTTTGTCAATGTAAACATCTAGTCCCACACCCAGAGCCCCTCTTAAGTCTGTCTAATATAATCTAGTCTATCACCTGCCATCTACCATCTCCAGTGAAGTGTTAATGGAAGCAGGTCAGAATGTTCCAGTCTGTGACATCCCTCTCTGGCAAAGAGGCCTGGATGTTTTCAGCCCCCTGGTCAATGGGGACGAAGTTGGAGAGGTTCTCGGTTGTTTCCTTGTGCCAGGCACACTCCAGGAAAGCTGTGGCCATGAGGGTTTCATCCGGGCCTGGGTTGTTGTGGTTGGGTTTGGTGAGGACTCGCTCCTGTTCTTGGGGACGGTCCGTGTGCTGCCCTTGTCCCGTCCAGTCCAGGTGGGGTGTTACGGGCTGGATGGGAGGCGGGAGCTCCAGATCCCCAAGAACGGAGAAGTCTTCGTCCAGGTGGTTGTTCAGGAGAGCTTCCCAGTCAGTGTCACCCTTCAGCTCGGTCAGGTCATTCCGCTCCTCCTGGGTCCCGGAAGCAGAGCTGGGAAGCCGAGACACCTTGGCCATTGGCGTGGGCTGCTTGCGCTGCTGCCCCGCTTCCTTCTCCAGGCCATTCCAGTTCTGGCTGTTTTCAAACTCTTCAAACTCCTTCAGCAGCTGCTGCAGCTCCATGCTGATCTCGAGGTTGTTATGGGAGCTGCAGGCTGAGGCAGCTGGGCTGATGACGTGCCATGCCTCTTGCTGGGCTCTTTCAGGGGAGCCTGGCTGGATCTGCACTGGTGACATCCTCCACTCCTTGAAGGCCCTGCTCTTGAGCCGGTTGGCATATCGGGAGTGGAGCTTCCAAAATGCGCCTCTCCCTGGTTCGCTCTTCTCCCGGGTCACCTTGATGAAGCACTTGTTGATGCAGAGGTTGTGCCGGATGGAGCTCTGGGTCCAAAAGAGAAGAAAACCCAAGGCTGAATGCTTGTCTGCTGGCGTGAGAGGGACCTACCTGTGTGGGGAGGCTGGTGCAAAAGCAGGTTTTCAGCAAGGCCCTTTGGGAAAAGAAAGCAGGAATGGCAACACCAGGACATCTCGGGCTATGTGCCCTCCAGAAAATCCTCTGAATGTGCCTGAAGTGCAGCAAATAATCAGAAAGGAAACTCAGCTGTTGGGTAAATAACCCAGCATTGGGCTCCCCAAAGCCAAGCCAAAGCAGCCAGCTCTTCCTCCCAAAGCGCTCACGTAGTTCCCCCGGCACAGGAGAGGCTGGGGAACCCAAGTGGCCCTGGAAAGGAAGAGGGACCATCAGGGGTTCTCTTGCCTGTGATGGGCTCTTCAGGAACCACTGGAGACCCAGCTGCCTGGGGAGAAGGTGGGCAACTCCTGGGCAGGGGGCTTGTATTGGGTTTGCCCAGCCTTGGCTGGGGGAGCACAGCCAGCCAGGATCATGGGAACACTGTGGATTTGGGCTGGCAATAACCAAGCGGGAGGATGAGCCACCCACGGCCCTCTTGCCCTGCCCTCTGCTAGAAAGCCTCACGTGCCAGAGTGGCCCTCGTGTGACAGAGGAAGGCAGCAAGCCCAGGTGGCTGGGAAAACCTGCTGTGGGGAGGGCTTCAGGCTGTCCCCAAAGCTGGTAAGCCTGGGGCTGTCCCCTCCCTGCTAGGGACACACTTGTGCTAGCTGGGGACAGCAGCCCTATTTGACCCCTCTTGGTCTTCCCTCTGCAGGTCTCAGCAGCTTGTCCCAGCGATGGAGCCTCCTTGGCTGTCTGAGGGGCCAGGAGACCAGCCCTGTGCCCTGCTTGGAAAGCAGCAGCGCTTCATCTGGGAAACTCCCCAGTGAGTGACTTGTCCAACAAACAGCATCTCCATGCCTCTCCTGTGCCTGGTCCTCAGCACCCAGGGATACTCAGTGTGGTGACTTTTTGCACGTGTGCTCAGCCCTGAGGGACTCGGGACCCCACCAGTGTTCCGGAAAGGTAGGGACTGAGAGGCCTTTGCCACAGAACCAAGAGGAGCCCCAGGGGCTGGGAGCCCAATGGGTACCTCCCAGAATGGCCCCGAGCTCTCCCCCAGGAGGGCTCCTTCCCTCTGTCACCCCAGCAGCCCTGGCATTTGTTTCCCATTCCAGCCCTTCCCCACCAGCTGCCAGTGGGATCCAGCATCACTGCAGGACCTTGTCTTGCAGAGTGGAGGCTGTGGAAAGCCCTGCCCAGCCCTGTGTGGAGAGGGGCCGAGGCAAGAGGGCTGCAAATCTCCTACCTGCCAGGTGGGATCAGCAGGTTGGAAGTAGCAGAAGTTGTCACTGATCCACTTGCAAATGGCCGAGAGGGTGATCTTGGGCTTCTTGCTGGCTTCCATCGCCATGCAGATGAGGGTGGCGTAGGAGTAGGGTGGCCTGACGTGCGGGTTGGTCTTGTAGTTGATGTTCCCCGTGAGCTGAGAGGGCTCAGCCACGTCGTGGTGCGTCGTGGTGGTCATCGAGGTGGTGGAGGAGGAGATGGCCGTGCGGGGAATGTCGATGTACTCGCACAGCTCCTCGGCAGTCAGGGGAAAGCCTGGGGACTGAAAGTCCACCAGACTGACCAGATTTTCCCAGATGGTGCAGCGGTCCTCGGGGTCCTCGGATATCGGGGGCAAGCCGATGTGGGCGCCTGTGAGGTTAACCAGCCACATGAGGTCTGGCTCGCTGCCAGGCCTGTCTTCCTTGGTGGAGCTCGATTGCCCCTGAGCTCTCAGCACGGGGCTGGAGCACACCATGCCTTGGCACGTCACCGGGTGCATGTGAAGGGGAGGGAATGGATGGGACAGATCCTGCAAGAACAAGAGGGAGAGGGTTGAGGTTCCCTGAGGCACAGTCACTCTCTGGCACCTGGGCAGGGCCAGGCCTGAGTGCTCCAGGTGTCCCTGGGGTGCTGGGCATGAGAGCTGCAACATCTGCCCTGGGGGTACTTTAGCAGCCCTGGCCCTCGGGGAAATTCCCTCAAACCGTCTGTGGCGCTCCCAGTGCCACCCAAACCCCAGTGGGCTGGTGCTGCCCAGCAAGCTTTCGGCTGAAAAACCAACAAACCCTCCCCACAACCAAAATCCGGCTCTGCCATCCCACCGAGAGAGGTCGTTTCTCCCACCTGTCGTGAGCAGGGCAAACTCTCAGGGTCTAACACCTCAGCTAAAGACCTTAAAGTCTTCATCTGGTCTGTCCCATCCCCACAACCTGCCTCCCTCGGTTTGATGCTATTTATGCTTCTCCCTTCCCCTGGTACCCCAAACCAACCCGGCTGTGGGGGGGCGCAGGGACCCACGCCAAGCACAGCGTCACTTGGAGCCAGCCGGCAGCTCCGGGCTTTGGGGAACACCGGGCAGGGGATGCGGCGCTGGCTCCGGTGCCGGGCTGCAAAAGCGGAGTCCCGTGGTGGATTTTGGGGCACGAGATAGCGAGCTCCCGGACGGCAGCGGGGGCCGCTGGCCCGGCTGTCGCGGGGGTTTGGCGGCGAGAACGATGCGGAACCCCCCGCGCGCGGGCGGCGCGGCCGTTGGGGGGAGCAGGGGCAGCTCCCTCCCGCTCCCAGGAAACGGGCTTTTTTTTGTTTTTCCCCCGGACCAGGACAGGGGTTTTCCGCCAAAACGAAGGCTCCGGGCAGCTTGCTCAGGTGCCCGGTCCCCAGCGTCAGCACCCAGCCCCGGCCAGCTCCCGCGCCCGCAGGAAGGGAGGGGGGGCATCCCCCAAGCGCTCGCTCGCCGCAACCCTCCGCAGCGGCGGGCCCGTCCCGCCGCCCTCCCCAGCCCCCGGCCGCTCCCCGCCGCCGTCCCTTACCCTGTGCCGGTGTCGCGCCGCAGCTTCCGCGGCTCCGGAGAGAGCTCGTCGTTTTTGGAAAGGCAGGGCGGCAGCAAAAAAAAAAACCAAAAACAATCCGTAGGGAAAAAGAAGGGGCAAGAGCAGGGCCGAGGACCCGCCGCCCTGCGCTGTGCCCGGGCCGGGCCGTGCCCGCCGAGTCGCCGACAGTCGCCGACAGTGGCGGAGAGTCGCGGCCGCCCCGGCGCTGGGGACGGGGGGGTCTGAGAGGATTCGCGCGTGGCGGCGGCGACGCCCCGCCCCGTCAACATCGCCCGGCCCTGCCATTGGTGCGCGCGTTGCCGTGGGCGGGGCCTGCCGGACGGGCACCGCCCCCGCGGCGGGAAGGGGCCCGGGGTGATCCCCAGGGATGCTGGTGAATCATGGAATCATTGAATCATGGAATCGGCCGGGTTG